ACAAGAATCTTTGGGAAAACTCTGAAAATACCTTTATCTCTACCTCTCATTAATGTAATTGCCTCCATTTCTCTTTCTGCACTCAGAAGAATGAGGCTGTACAACAACCTTGTGATTTCCACCATGCCTGATGCTGCTTCTCCGCTGCTGACTGCACCAGTCCACCCACCAAAGCTGCAACCTTAGGCTCAAGTTGTGAAGCATAATCAAGTGAAGATGGTATAAAACACAGGAAGACATGAAGCATTCAGAGAGTTAAGGTGTGTTCCTTAAATAGCTACAGTCTTTGTTTCACAGCTCCATTTTTTGATAGCAAGTAAATTCTGCAATTACAAGTGGGGCGATATCAAATCAGTATGAAACATTCATAACTGTAGCTAAAATTGGGTGATGTCTCCTCAGCTGATGCATGCTTGAGAGGGATGCCTTTGATGCCAAAGCTTTTTAGCAGGGCTGATACTGTCATCGTTGGGTGTGTAGCTTACTCATTTTGTCAGTCTCTGCTGGGGCTTCGCCAAGTGCTGGATTTAAATCCCAGGCTCTCCTGGTCAGAAGGCAGAGTGTAGCCTGCAGCGTGCAGGATGCTAATACTGGTACTAGCTCTCACCTCAGGGGGGCTGCAAGACTAAAAAATTGCAAGGAGAAGATGAGCAAAGCAGTTGCTGTGCACGCAAGTTTGTGTGTGAGAAGGAGAGAAAGAGAGAGCACCTGTGTGAGAGGACTTTGCTAAAGGGCAGAAAGCATCAGGGGAATTGGGAAAAGAAGACTGCGCACAGTCTTCTGTGCTATACAGATACAAATACAAGGAGATATGTGCTGAAATGAGAGGGAGCCACAAAAGAAGTTTTCAGATCTGGTCAGGAAGCTGGCAAGAAAAAAACTATCTGATAAACAACTGGGGTTTACTTAAAAACAGCATCTGAGTTTGTTCTTCACTGTTGAAGCCATCATTTAGAAAACAAGTGAAAATGGCTACAGTGGTCTCACTTTAGTCCTTCATGGCATTTCCCACACATCACCCAATAACTGTACCATTTTTACATATCTCTGTTTTCATAGACAGAAAATGAGGATCATTATGATATAATGGCGAAGACAGAAGTCCACATTGAAGGGTATTAACAGAAAGTGCTGCAACACAACTTGCCTCTCGCATTTTCCCTGACTGTAACTAATAAAAAGTCCTCAAGCCCAGCAGTATTAAATTTACTCAAATTAAAAAGCTGCTTCTCTGTGACAACAACTATTCTTGTTCCTATTAATTATGGAACATCATGTTTTACAAATTTTTTTTGGTATAAATACTGCATTAAAGCATTATTATAGTGTTGAGTAAACAACTCTGTGTGTTTAGCAATATACTCTCAGAAAAAAAGTTGCATCAGTGTTTTATAAGTAGGTCAATGACAATTCCTTATGTATTTCTTAAATTCACATGGACCATCCAAATTCCAGCATAGAAATACATGGATAAAACTACTGTGAATAAAATATTCATGTTTTTCTTTAAAAATAAATAGACCCACATAAGCTGCAGTAAGAGAGGTGCAGGATTTCCTGGTGCAGGATTGTCTTCTGTATGCTTTAAGAGCTCTGCTTGGTTCAGTTTATTACCAGATAACAAATATGAGTGTAATTAATATGAGTGTAATTAATATGATTGCAATTAATATGCGCATAATAAATATGAAATTCCCTTTGCATTGAAACCATTCATGAATTTAGGGGTTGTAACACATGCTTTATTTCTTCATTTGATATGAAAATTGTCCCAAATATAAGATATGGTGACTGATTCCAGGGTTGTCTCCTCAAGAAGCCTTTTTGCTTACAAATGGACAAAATGTGTTTGTGTTATTGTTGACATGTCCATCGCTGTGGGATTAGAGGATGCCATTTCATCCAAGAGGTTCTGTAAAGAGAAGGTTGTTTTAATGAGCATGCAGTAATACCTGTGACCAGGTGGTATTTCAAAGAAAGCCCCAGGAGAAGGATAGAAAGTGCAGAAGATTACTCTTGTTTTCTACAGATGTTTCCTTGAGTAATCTCACCTAAAGCATTTGTAGGGGTAAAAACCATCTTAGCTCATCAAAAATCAAACCAATCAAACCAACCAAAAAACCCAAAACCAACTCAAAAAACCCCTCACCAATCAACCAAAAATCTCCCAAAATGAAACAAACCCCAAACTACTTCTAAGACATCTAGACTTTGGAGAGCCTTGAAAATTGCTGAGACATGTAAAGGTTAGTATCTGAAATGGGCTTCTTCAGACAGAAGCTTTGCTTAACATAGAAAACACTTTCACTGATGCATGGTTATTAGAGTTATCTGCTGCACCATTTTCTTAGGTCTGTCATCCTTTCCATGTGTGGAGTAGATTATGGTGAGCTCAGTATGAAGTGTTTGTAATTCTCTTGGCTAAAACACATAGTTTCCATCAAAATGAACAGAGTTCCAGCCATCTGAAAGTATAAAAGCAATTTTCTTTCAGGAATTTCCATAATTATAAATTTAAGAAGGTACATGCCCCCAAGAAACCTGTGAAACTGTGTTTTTGGAGTGATCAGAAAATTATTCCATGGCTAGGCAAGTACTTGAAACATTTAATCATCAATATAATATTCCTTGTGTTGGTAGAAATCCTCCTATTTCTGCTCACTTACTTCTTGGTTAGCTGAATACTGTCACTATTGAATTTCACATAGCAGAAACACAGCCCCATGTAATGTGTATAATGTCTGCCTTTGGCTCCACATAGATCTGGGGGAATAGGTAAAGCAGCTTGGATGGATTTTCATATATGTGAATATGAGTGGCCACTCCTTGGAGATCTTTTGAGAAAGAAGTAGATTATTAAGGGGATGGGTTTCCCCTGATTTACATGCTCATGTTGCTTTGGCAGCCTCAGCAAATGGAGAATGTCACTGTCTGCTGGCAGCTGCAAAGGACTTCGGGCAGATGTTTGCTTCTTTTGGTTTGTCCACTTGTATGCCTGACCCAAATGGCAGCAGAGCTCATTATGCACCATTATTGTTCTAGATATTGAACCTATTTCTTCACAAATTAATTGCTTCTGGCTGACTTATCTGTAACCAATGTGATTGAAAGAGCATGAAAACAATCAGTGATATGTGGCTGTTGCCTGTTAACTCTACCAAGGAAACCTTTGTTAAGACTGCTTTGGCAGCCAGAGGATTTCATGAGTTTGGAAGCACAGGTCCATGTTGGCAGCAGGCTGGAGACAAAGCTTTGGTGCAGAAGAGGTGCTAGGCTGATTGGCATGGGGGTGGGATGCCACTGATGACTATGCAAGATACAACCTCAGGGATGCTGTGTGACCAGTTACAAGGGTGACACCAGCAGCAGGGTTCCTTTATTTTTTGTTTGTTTTCAGACCAGTTGCAAACGTGAAGTGGCTGTAATGGCTCCACCAACTGGAGATGAAGCCTGTAGCTCTTCTGAGGGTTACATGCATGTCAGGCACACTGGAACTGAACTCTAATGCCTGTGCTCTGGATTTAGGTTGAGGGATGGATTGCATTTCCCACTTTCATGTATAGACACTCCTCTCTCTCCCTTTTTTTTCCCTTTCTTATGAGAAAGAGAGTGTTTGCTTAGTATGGTGCTTAGTGTCTCAGTTGGTTAATTTAGTCCACAAAGGAGATTTACCATGGACTCCCACGGTTGTCTGGGGTGGGGTGGGAGGGGTGGGGGGGGTGCTGTCAGAGGGAAAGAATCACTTTCTCTTTCAGCCTTCATAGTTATTGCTGAGAAAGATGTGAAAGGTTACTTGTAAAGATTTTATAATTTGCAAAGACCGTAGAGGATGAACTTGGGGGAGGTCAATATACAATACTGGAATCACCAGGTGACGTCAGGGTCTTACTGACATGCATGTGAAATTAGGGCAAAAAACCCCAAAACAGTCCTTCATTCTGCAGAATTTGACAAACTGGCAACAAGACATTTCTGCCCTGCACATTGAGAGTCTATGAAAGGGAAGAGAAGAATAAGGCTATTCTTAGCCCCCTTTATAAGCACACAAAGTACGGCACAGAAATGTCACTTGCTGGGGCGGTAGGATGGTTTGTTAAAGAGGACAGGACCGCTGTGTAGAATCGTCCTTTACGACAGGGCAAACGAACCTGCTCTTGTCAGCCCCACGCCAGCTCTGCCCATTCCCATCTCAGTCAGCTACAGCAAACGTCCTCATTTCTTCCATTCCCCCCCACCTTTCCTAAATTATTTTTATTCGTGCTCAAAGACCGGCGGTTTCGCCAGATCCTGGACGGCACCACCTCGGGACGGGAACGAAGCGGTGACTTCAGCACAGGCAGACGAGAACAGCCGACAGGCAGGAGAGCGCCCGAGGGTCACGGCCAGCGCCGATCGGCCGCTGCCAGCCGCGGCCCCCGGGACACACCGGCCCTCCCCGCCGCTTCCCCTCAAAGTTCCCGGCGGAGCCCCCACTGCGGCTCGCTCTCCCCGCCGCGCCCGGCGCTCCCCTGGCGGACGGGGCGGCGCGGCGGCGCCTCCCCCGGCCCTGCCCAGCCCTGCCCGGCCCGGCGGAGGCGGTGGGCGGCTCCTGTGGCCGTGGCATAAACCGGCGGCCCCTCCCGCTGCCGCCGCTGTCCCCGCTGGACGGCGGGGAGGAGAGCGGCGCTGCCCTGCGATCCGGGCGGAGGCTGCGGCTGCTCTCCAGCGGAGGGCTGCGCCCGGCGGCGGCGGGCCGGGAGCTGCGGGGCACGGGCGCGCCGCCTCGGCTGCCGCGGCCTCGCTCGCACGGCGGCAGCGGCGGGAGGCTTCGCCGGGCTTCCCCCTTGTCTGCCCGCGGGGGGGGGGGGGCGGG